AAGTGGGGGGACTGTGAGACAGCGACCTCCTGATAAGCAATTATTTCAGTGGAGTTGCAGTCTAAATACTAAGCTGCCAAATTCAGATACTTTAATCTTGAGACGTAATTATCCCCTACTTCCAAATCATGGGAGAAGAGTAAGTGCATTCAACTTTATTTAGCAAGAACTTATGCAAGATGTAAGCATACCATTTTCAGATGTAAAGTTAAAGCAGTCTAAAACCTATATTCAACTTAGTTGGCTCTGGAGTGAAAGATGAATCTATTTTGTATTTGATTTTCCTTTTGATTTCTGATATGGTTAAGGGCTTTGATTCAATAAAAAATTGCAGGCATGTCTGTACTTGTATATGCTCATCATGGGCTCTTTTTATTTAGAAATGATAAATGAGGGTAAAAAGATGCTTGAAGAAATATCAACTCAACTCTTTAGCTGTGTTCAGCAGCCTTCAGTACTCAGTGCCTTGGCTAGCTTGCTTGTTGGAAGCTGTTGGCACAAAGGCATCTTGAAGCGGGCAGGACTGTGGGTGTCTGGAAAGTCTGGTGTCTGACCTCTCGAGTCCGATGGGTGGCTGGTGTCTTTGCAATGTGTGATTTTGGTTCAGGGATTTAACTCCTCAAGGTGTGCTGTGTCCAGGGACAGTATTCATGCAGCTTCATGTTTTTCCTTGGAGCAAGTTGGCAGAACTGTTTAAGGATAAAGTGTCAGGATTCGTGTGCATGAGTTTCTGCAAATAGCCTAGCAACCTGGAAAGCTCCATCTTCCCCTTCAGACCATCCTGGTGTTACGCACAGTTTGGAGTCACCAGCTGTATCAAGTTGAATGTTAGCAGCAGTTTTTTGGCTTGGAAAGAAAACCTGTTCAAAGCCTTATCAAGTAGTTTTTTTGCCACTGGAGACATGGGTGGGGAGGAAGGGTAGCACCAGGTGCTAAAAATTAGCGATAAAGCTGCCTGTACATACTTAGAAATAAATAATTTGAGAACTGAGTTTTGTTACTTAAGGTGTATATTCTTGCATAAGCCTTTGAGGCAAGCGTCCTCTCTTTCTTTCTCCACTTGTGGTGAATTGACCTGTGCTCAGCACTTTTTTTTTTTTGCATATTATGGATTTTTTTCTGCTAGATTTATCTTAATCATCATTTGAGTATCTTCAAGTGCCTAAATCAACTGATATTGATTTTAGTGTTGATCTTAGGGCCTAAACTCAAAAGAAAAGGCTACTTGGCAATGAAACTGTTCTGGTAGTGGTGTAGGCAAGCCTTGAGTGCTGGATTACTTCTGAAACACCTAATACAACGATTTTCAGAGGTATAGCGGGGCCACAAACATTGAGATCTGTAAGCAGTGACTGCAAGGAGGAGGATATGTATGCCAGCTGTGGGTGAGACAGCAAACCCCAGCTTTAAATTAGTTGAAGTTAGAAATTAGGCAAAGATGAACATTGTATCCTCCAGAATAAGGCTAAGAAGTCTAAGAGATCTGAAGTTTTCTGGGAACTAAGTATTAATGTGGTCCTGTGCTGGGATGAGAAGAGCTGGTGGTTCTTTCTGAGGCTGTTTGCTTTTGGCAGCTTCAAGGATACGGGTTTAGGAAGCTGGATGGGGAGAGCGAGTTTGTCTTGGCTCACACTTCTGGCTGAATGAACCAGCTGCTGTTTTACATCATGCTTGCAAGCACAACTGCAGTGCGTGTTCAGATGTGGGTAAGCTGTGCAGTTGCTCAAAACCAGGCTGGTTGTGCAGGTGGTGACTGTCCACAGGGTGGCAAAGTGAGCAGCTGAACAAAACCAGCTTCCCTGGTGCTCAGTGACAAAGCCAGGAGTGTGGTAGCTCTGGAGACAAAGAGGAATGTCACCTGTGTGCCTGCAGCAGGTGGAGACATCCCAATGGTGGTGCAGTTGCCCATCAGAGTGTTACAACCTCCTGTTGCTTTTTGCCCAGGGATGTACCTCTCGCTGTCTGAGGCCAGTGGGATTTGAGGAGCTGGAGCTTGGAGCTGTGGGGCCAGCTGGAGGCCATCCCATGGCCATTTACCCAATGTCACAAGCATGCTGACTGCCCCTCATCACCTCATCCCTGCCTCTCTGGTCTGTAAGAAGAGCTTTTGAAATGCTTGCTAGTGTGTCTGGTTATTAAATGTTGTATAAAATAAGCCTGGTCTATAGCCAGGCTTCCAAACCTGTGTTGTAAGCGAGGAGCTTGAAGTGAGCTGATGCTCTGCCTGCCAGGGAGGATTGAGCAAATGCTGGAGGATGATGATTCTGGGCGTGTCTTGTGATTGCTTCTTGACATGTTTCAGAGAAACCACCCAGATTTCTTATATTAGCACTGAAACTTGTGTCTGATGCCTTTTTCAGCCTAGGTTTGGCAGGGCAGAGTCAGTGCTGAGAAGACAGCTGGCTGCTCTTGTGGCCTTCAACCCAGCTGTCCTCAGCCTCAGCTACCTGGTGCCAGCGTTTGCTTTATGGAGATCTTTGTGGGTGGTGCTGGCAGGAGAAAGTAGGTGGACTTTGGTACAAGTTCATGGAAGGCATTCAAGTCTTCATGGTTCAGAAAGTATTAAAGGTTGTTTACCTCCCAGGTGATGGTTTATCTCAATTCACAAATGGGTTTGTGGTTTTATTTCCTGTGTAATGTTCAAGCCTGTTGTGGTACAAATTTGACTACATTTTTGAAGCTGGATCTCTCCAACCAAAGACTCCTGCTGCCGGGGACTGACCACAACCCTGGATAATGCATAAGATGCACAACCACAGCCTCCAAGGGCTGGTGCTGGACACTTCTTGTCCTTTACCTCCCTGGTACTGGATCTGTGTCAGGCAGGAGCAGCTGGGCTTGTGCTTTCCCTCGGGGCCATCCTGGGGCTGAGCTGCTGGAGGAGTCCTGGAGGTGGTGCTGGAACCCGTCTTGCTGACAGCGCAGAGCGTAGGCCAGGCTACCTGGAAGCTATCTCAGGAAGCAGCTGCAGGGTAACACCGAGCATTCAGGTCAATGCAGTGTAAAGATTACCGGCACCACCACAAACCCCTGGATATTGCAGGGGGGGGGAAAAACAACCCCAGCGTACAGCCCCCAGCCAGGTGGTGAGTGCCAGAGAAAACCTTAGGCAGCAAATACTTATCAAAAACATCTTCCACCGTTCCCTTTGCAAGCACTAGAGCGGCAGCTTGGGAGCTTAACCTTTCTTCGGGTTTTTAAACCTGCCCTGCCTGATGCTAGCACAGCGTGGCCTTGTGTAGAGGGCAGGCAGGCTGCTCTGTTCTCCCTGTGCTGGCCTCTGCTCTGGTTACTCCAGGGCAGTGATGCTCGTGGCACCGCCACACGCAGCGTGCTGCTGCTGCTGTGGGTGGAAATTGGCTTTTCCCTTCCTGCTGGAGGTCAATGCCCAGCAGTAGTCCCCTGTCCTTGCCTGTCCTCGCTGCAGGAGCCATCGGTTAAGGAGGCTGCAAATGCCTCGGTCACCAGGACCAGCATCTTGGGGCTGGCTCCTTGCTCTTACACACCCTGGGCAGCAGCCCCTGTACCCAAACGCCTGCTTTTTGCTGGTTCCTTTTTGCTGGTAGTGGCTCCTGCCTTGGATGGAGGGGTGGCTGTGAACTCTGGGGTGCTGCCCTGCTCTCATGGTGACTGCACGGCTCCTGCTGTAGGTGTGGAGCAGCAGGGCCTTCCTCTGCCAAAAGCTCAGCCGAGGATGCAGGCGGTGTGCTGCTGTCACATCCGACAGCTGAAATCACCTCTGATGGTTTAAGTGTCTCGATGCTGAAGGATTTTGCCACAGTGTGGCTGGAGGAACCCCCCTGTGCCAGCCTTGGCCGCTGTCCTGGTGTCCCCCAGAGCTGCTGGGGAGGCCGTGAACTGAAGGACAGAAGCCAGAGCCACAGCAGGAGGAAAGTCTCTTGAATCAAAATGACATGTGAGCACTGGGAGCTCACCTTGTGATGGGTCCGTTCCTGGTGCAGCTTTGGTTCCCTGTTTATAACGGTGGTGGGGAGCCTGTCCCAGGCCGCCGTGCTCCTGGGCTGCTCGGTGACCGCGAGTGCCTCCGGCAGGGTACCCAAGGCCGTTCACTTTCTCAACTCAGGAAGAAAACAAAGTGGCAGGGCGGGGGCCGCCGGACAGCAGGGCTCCCCGGAGGAAACGTGCTCACCCGCTGCGGGAGGACAAGGTGTCTGCCAGGGAGAGGACGGAGGCCGGTGCCTTGCCTCACCCAGGGGTGCTGACCGCTCCCCGCAGCGCTGAGGTCTCGCCTTCCCTTTGCCATCCATCCTGTGGGGAAGCTGCTTTGTGGGAGTCTTACTAAGGAAACAACCAGGCTCTTTTTTTTTTTTGGCCCTGGATCTCATTTTGTGGTTGGCCCCAGCACCACAACGAGGTTCGGAGTCTGTGGTGTGCAGGGTGGGTGTGCAGCAAGGAGCAGATTTGAATGTGGGTTTTTGAGGTTTCCTAAATAGCAGCTGAGGAGCCAGGTGCATGATTCATCCTTACCTGGAAGGCAGCAAACCAGAGGCAGTCCACAAATCCCTCTGAGGGGCAGAAAGCCTCAGCCCTGTGCTCACAGAGCGCTGCAGGGATGTGGTCTCAGCACAGCGTGCCTCCATTTCCCCATTGTGTGCCTAAAACCAGGGGGTGGGGGGTGGCTGATGACACAGGCTGGTGTCTTTCCAAGATGCACTTTGCTGAGACAGTTGCTGCGGGAGTACAAAACATGGAATGCTTCTGTGCCAAGAGCAAATGATGAACTGAGCGTGGGGCTGCTCCCTTGGCTTCATCCCACCCCAGCTCCGTACCCAGCCTTCCCCAGCACCCCGACGCAGCGTCCCCCGAGCTCTGCAGTCTTGGCAGGACAGCCACGTCCTGCAGCCCAAGCGCCAGCTGCGGGAGGAAGGCAACGTGCGACTTGACGGGGGCTGAGGAAGCTATAGGCAGATTAGGAAATGTGTGATGAGTTTTGATAACCGGAGGAAGCAGGTCATGTCCTGCTTTGAACGAGCTCCGCTTGGAGGTATGAAAGCAGCCTTGGCCGGGCGAGAATCAGTCACTTCTCAGCGCGCTCTGCTCCGTCTGGGGATGCTCTGGGCTGGCAGGATGAGGCTGGGATCTTCTGGGATCTTCGTCGGGATCTTGCTAGTGCTCGTCCACGCAGCAGCAGCCTGTGAGTTTGGGCCAGTCCCTGACAGAGCCACGGGGATCGTCTGCAGGATGACCAAGCCCGCGGCGTTGCTGTGTAAGTGCCCGCCATGCGGGACTGCGTTTTCCCCCTCCGTCAGAAGGTAGTGATGGCAGATCGGCCAGGTGAGGGGATTTCTCGCTTCCCTGGCTCTCGTGGAAACTGCTCTTCTGGCAAGGTGTGCTGCTACCTGCCTGGGGGGTAGGGATGGTGCCCAGGCTGGTGGGACGGAAGATCTGGAGCTAAGCAGTGATGGACAGTGATTGCCTCACGGGAATCTTGCCTCTTGGGGATCAGTCTGCAGAAGGGGAGAAGTGAGGTTTCACTGCTGGTTTTATCTTTTTATTATTTTTCCCCCCTCTGTTTATTTGTTGTTGCTGTTTTTTCAAGGGCTTGGGGACTTTGTGGGTGGGGGAAGAATTTCTGCAAAAGGTGGACTCAGCTCTATCCCATCCTCTCTGATGATAGTGCATGAATAAGAGCAGGTATTTCTGGAAGGAAAAATGCCTGCCCAAAACTCATCCCCTGGCTAAGATGTGTGCCCGAGGCTGGTACAGGCTGGATAATTTTAGGAAAATGGGTGCAGAAAGTTCAGTCTCAGAAGCTTTTCTTTGGAGCCCCAGCAGCTGCCGGTAATCTCTGCAAGCAGCAACAGAACAAAGCACAAGGGTAAAGTCAATGGCTTGTGCAGCACAAAGAGAAGAACAGCTTTGACCTTGCCAAAATCTGCCCCAATGGTACAGATGTGGCGTGTGCTTTAATCCCAGGTGCAGACCCGATTCTGCAGCTCAAAGGGACTGCACTTTGGTTATCTTTGCTCTTTTCTTCCACCGACAGTGAACCAGGAAACAGCACAGGTCATTCAAGCAGCCTTCAGGAATGCCAACTTCCCAAATATCACCGGGGAAAGGTCCGTGCGGCTCCTCGGCAAGGTGGCTTACGGGCTAAGCAAGTGAGTATCGCTGGGGCACCGCGGGCTGGCGGAGGGCAGGGAATGGTGGCCTGGGAAGGGAGCTTTGGTCCAGTAATTACGTGAGAAAGCAAAGACAGAGATGCACTTTCTTATCCAGGCCTTTCACACAAGTCATTTCCACGTGAAGGTTTAGGCTGTTTGTGCGTTTTTTTGGAGAGCTTTTCCAGCTCCCTGGGAGGACAGCGAGGAAGCAGAGAAGGGCAGGTCTCTGAAAAGCAGGACAGGGAGTGCAGCCCTGGGGCTGGAAGGGGCTGTCCAGCTGTCGATAGGTGGTGCCAAGGGCTCGTCCTTGCTGGAACACCCCTCAGCACAGGACCTGCTTGGTGGCAAGGACAGCTGGGTTTCACCGTGTTACCAACAGGGGGATTATTTGGAAATGACAAATGCAATGATGCAAACACGGGGTAGATTTCCTGCTGCGACTGCTACTGAAAAAAAAGAGCACTACAATCAAATAGAGGTTTTTACAAAGCACGCTGCTGTGTGTTCCCAGCTTCAAGCGTTCAAGTGATCCCTAAATGTGTATGGAAGTGTGTAGCAGGGGAGGAGCTGTGCACCGAGGCTGAGCTCCCTGGTGCTTCCCAGAGCTGGCACAAATCCCACAGAAACCTCAGGAGCAAACCTGTTGCACCCAGTCATAAAAAGTGCCCACCGGGAACAATTCTTTTTTTTTTTTTTTTTTTTTTTTTTTTGTCATTTTTAGCATCCAGGTCAACGATTTGTCCATCGAGCAGAGTGAGGTGGAGCTCAAGGAGAATGATGCCATTGACATTGCCATTAAAAATGTGACGGCCGTCTTCAAGGGCACCCTGACCTACGGCTATGCTGGGGCCTGGTTGTAAGTACCCGGGGGCTGAGCACCGCAGCCCTGGATTCCTGCCACTGCCCCCAGGCCTGAGGCAGCCCACAGCATGGGTGAAGACAGAGGGGCCGTGCTCCTCTGGCTCCCTCGCAAAGGAGCCATGAGCAAGGCAGTATTTTATACTGCCAGCAGTGCTGCTTGCCCCCATCGCTCTTTTTCTCATGTCACTTTTTGCCTCTCTGTCCTCACCATTGCCTCTTGCACGAGATGAAAAGGCTAAAATGTACCAGCTGACTTTTTCCCTCCCCGTCGTTGCTCTGTAAATGTTATCTGCGTGCAGTACAAATGGTCTTAATGCTCCCTGTTCTCTTAAGTGGTGGCTTGCAATGGTTTAAAGCCGGATTATCTGAGGCGGGCTGCTGCGTGCCAGGGCTTTGCACACTGTGGTGCAAGGAAAGATGTAAAAGGTGCTGCGAAAGAAACCTGCCCTGTGGCTAGAGTGCAGTCAGGAAAAGCTGCTCCCACATGCGTGTGCCATTGATGACTGTCCTCTCTTCTGCCCCTACAGTCTACAGCTTTTTCATTCAGTTGATTTTGAAATCGAGTCTTCCATCGACCTGCAGATAAACATTAAACTGAGTAAGTAACAGCTGGGAACCACGAGCCATAGGGACCTTTGCACAGTTGTTTCCACCCAAGCCACAGCTGGGGCTGGGAGTGGCAAGCAGGGGCTGGCTCCGTGCACCTTGGTGGGGACCAGGTGGCACCTGCCTCTGCCACCCTGCACACCGGGCTGGAGCCAATCTGGCCCTCAAAATGCTCGTAATCCTAACAGCCCGAGAGCAGGGAGCTGGTACAAACCATTTCAGCAAGGTAATGCTGGGATGCACCAGCAGAAAGTGAAGGACTGCCTGGCCTTCTGGAGTGTCTTCAGGATCAGCCATTCATCTCCTGAAGTTCAGGATGACTTGGAAAAAAAAAATAAAAAAAAAAATGGGATATTTCAAATGAATTTGCCAAATTATGGCTTTGTTGCAGGAGGCTTGCACATCTGTGCAGTCTGCTTTTCCAGCTGTCCCTAGGTCAGGCCCAAGGAGTGCTCAGGGGAATGAAGTGTTGTCTTTGGGAAGGTTGATAGTACAGGGCTTCCACCAAGGGGAACAGGCAATCCATACTCCTCCGCCTCCCATAAGGAGTGAGAGGGATTTGGATTGCTACATGTGCATCAAAATGCGTCTCCTGTCTCTGGTAAGCTCCTGGGGAAAGCAGCATGAAGCCACACATATTGCAACATATTGCAATTTCCAAACTTTTTTGCAATATGACTTAACCTGCCCCCTGCCCCCTGGTTGTGGGCAGCATGCAGCTGGCCAGGTCCTGCTGAGTGATGTTAGGACACAACCGAGTCCCTGACTGCAGGACTTGGCAAAGCTGTGCTGGACTCTGGGAGCTGTGAGCAGAAGCCTCCCTCTGCGTGCAAAGTGTCCCCACCTGCCCCTGCTCTGCAGGGTCCCAGATCTTTTGGAAACCTCCAGCAGGAGGTGCAGGGAGCTCTGGCAGCCCTCCTGCAGCTCCAGGTCAGCGCTGTCTCGGCACTGTCCCGGGAGTACGCCAGCCACCTCTCTTCTTTTTCCTTATCCCGTGCAGTGTGCCAGGAGGACCAGGTGGCTGCTGATGCTTCAGACTGCTACCTCTCGTTCCACAAACTGACACTTCACCTCCAAGGAGACAAGGAGTGAGTCTGGTCCCCTCCAGAACGGAGCCTCAGGTGCTCAGCCCCAGGTCCTGCTGCGGGACCCGGGGCTGTCCCTGACCACGCTCGCTGTCTCCCGCAGGCCGGGCTGGTTGAAGCAGCTCTTCACAGATTTCATCTCCTTCACTTTGAAGTTTGTTCTCAAGAGAGAGGTAATACGGAGGAAAGGTCGGTTTGTGCTACATCTTTCTCTGTTCGTATGCCTGTAAGATAACAACAACACACTTAATGAGAAATAAGAAAGGCAAAGAGGCTGTGCTGATGGTGCAGACCCTGCCTGCCAGCCCCCAGATCTCGCTGCCACGTCCAGCTCTGCCTCACCTTCCCCTTCAGTTTTTCTTTTCTTTCCTCTTGTAGGTGTGCAATGAGATCAATTATCTTGCCCAGGTGCTGGCCAATTATGTCCATGACCTAGCAGGTAACTGGCCTTGTTTTTCTGCTTGCTTTCTTTACACATTGCTCTTAACGTCCGAGCCCCAGCAGGGCAGGAACCACATCCACCAAAAAAATGTATTGAAAAGTCTGTATGGGATGCCAAGCTCCCAGACAGCAGCAAAATAAACCTTGGCTATCTTATGATATGATTTTCTACATCAGGTTGATGTTAAGGGTGATTGCACTGGTCCAAAGACATGTTTCAGTTCCTAATGTATTTCTCCTTCATTATTTAACGATGGCAGATGCAGGATAGCTGCAGGACTGATGTTAGTTCGAATAGGAACATGCTTTGGAAACTAGGGCTGAGATATTGCATCTTTATCGACCTGCAGAAGATTTTTTGACAGTTCCTAGTCCCAAATGTCACAGAAAAGGGGCAAAGTATGAAACTGAGTAACTATCTCTGTGTCCCAGTGGCAAAACTAAACCACAGTGAGCAGTGGAAGGATCAGCACTAGCACTCAGAGGAGTGGGACCCCCATCCACCCATCCCATCCTTGTGCACATTCCTCTTACAACTCCCCAGCCACCTTCTGCAGCAAGCCCCAAAAGAAAATGTTGCAAGTTCTGCTTACAGTGGTATTTCTGATGTGAGCTTTTTGTGTTTTATTCTGGCAGCAAATTTTGTCCGGGATGAGGATATCGGACTTGATATCTCCCTTGCATCAGATCCTTTAATAAAAGCAAATTACCTCGAATCACACCACAAGGTAAAGTACCCCAGGCTGCTCAGACAGAAGGTTTTCTGCTCGTGGTGTTAGCTGGAGGGCTGGGAAGGGCTGGCTCCTCGCTGCAGGCAGTGCTTCTGTGCTGCAGCCAAGGGTATCTGCAGCAGGGGCACATACCTTCTCCTCGCTTTCTTTTAAAGGGCCTTGTCATGTACAAGAACTACTCTGATGTCTTCAGTGACTCTGTTTTCTCCCCATCACTGCTCTCCGAGTCCCGAATGCTCTACTTCTGGCTGTCCGAACACATCCTCAACTCCCTGGCTTCGGCAGCTTTCCTAGATGAACGCCTGGTGATGAACATCAGTGGGAAGAAGTTGCAGGTGACTTTCAGGGGTGGTTCCCTCCTTACCATTGCATAGCATTGTATTTTGGGGGGAGAGTAAAAGTTCTCTAAACTTCAGGTTTTGGTGAGAGACGATTTTTGTAGATTGAAATCCACAGCCAGTCACTACATGTGGACCTGATCAGAAATGGGTACCTTCTTAGCTACATGCTACCAGGTAGTGCTCTCCCTTAGAGTGATAACATCAGCTGATAGAAAACTTCTTTTGTGAGTTGTAAAGTGACATGAATTTATGTAGGAGTACTGAGGTAGAAAGGGGGTGAATTCAGGAGAAACCATTCCTCTGAACATGCTGCAAGCCACACATCCATGCTCTGCCCCATCCAGGCTGGATTGGGGCTAACCATAACCTCCTCTTCCATTTTTTTTTTTTTTAACAACCTGTTTCTGGTTTGTTTCTGAAGGCGCTGTTTGAAATTGAAGACACTGAAGTGCAGCAGAAGGCGGTGCAATTGGTAACTTTTGATTCTATTCAGAGCATTTTGTCAAGCAAAGAACTTTTCAAATTGATTCATTTAAACTGTAGCATCTCGTGTCCTTCCCACAACTTATGAGTCTTGGCTGATGGTGAAACAAGGGGTTGAAGGAGAAGTTGTGCTTTTTGAGGATTTCTCCACCCTCTGTGCTGGCACAGCTTCACTGAAACCCATCTGAGGTGTTGGGCTTAGAACAAGTGGAGTGGGACTTGGGAACTATAAAGCGCATGTTGATGTGTTTTAGATGTGTAGATGTGTGGCAAGGTTTTACGAAATTGGGAAGCAGCATGGCAAAAACCCTACTCCTCTCTTGCTCTTTATTTGACCAGATTTTTCAAGGCACCTCCTATAATGATTCTGTGGCCAAGGTGTGGAGTCTCACCCATCCCGAAATCTCTCTCCAGCCTGAGGGGACAGTTGTGAAGTCCTTGGTAGCAGTGGAGATCAACATCTTTCCCCCAGGAGAAGAGTCCCTGATGGTTCTGTACATGGAGAAGGTCTGTCCTTGTTTCTCCTGACTGTGAAGACCTTTGGAAAAGCTCTGTCCTGAGTTTGCACCACACTGGGTGCTTGTGGACAGTAACAGCTAGGAACACTTTGGGCAGGGGTGGTGGCTAACCCATGGGAAGCGGAGAAGGCGTATTAATTTCTTTCAGCACAGCAGTCTCTTCCTGTGACATTTGGGGCTGGGAATGATGATAGTGACCCTGTTGGCTCAGCGTCTCTATTAGACCAGCCCACTGCTGGTATGCAAGGTGGTAAGTGCAGCACCACAAAGCCCTGGTGAGTCCCTATTAAACACCACATCAGAACCTTTATCTGCGGTATTTTAGGAGAGAATGAAAGCATGAAAGCACCATGGGAATGTATTTATTTTCTGAAGTCTCCTAGCTTCCCAGTTCTAGCTCTAGCCCCTGCCTAGAGGATGGTTGCCTCTGAAAGAGAAAATACAGCTGTGAAGGATACAAAGCTTTTGCTCTGTGTGCCTGTGTGAAAGTTCCTGGTTACACTGGTTTACCCCAAAGTGCTTTATACTGAATATAAGGAGGTAGCAAAAAAATGCCAAAACCCTTGCTGTAATTATAACATGACAATAAGACAGTATGCTTGTGCAGCCTTGTGATTATGGGCTGGTATGGGCACTAAACACTGCACAAAAGCAAATCACTGTATGAGGGTAGACCAGACTCTTTTTGAGGAGTTGTGGCATACAAATGGAGAAGGAAAACATAGACCCCCCCCCGGTGATATCTGGAGGTGAAGCCAGAAGGATGATAAGCTCTGGTTTACAGCAAGTAAACCAGAATTTCCAGATAAGACCTCTCAGCTGCAAGGCAGGTGGACCTACATCTAAACTTCACTGTTCATCTCTGTGCAGGAAATCACGGTCACTATACAAGCTGCCTATGCAGAAAAGAAACTCATTTTGCAGCCTTTGGATTCCAGGTCAGTACTGAGGTTTCCTGAGTGTTCCATTCCTCCTTTTAGCCCATGTCTGAAAGCAGCACAAAAACATTTTTTTTTTTTTGCCCTTTTTTCCCTCCCCTTCAGGATAGAGTTTAAAGTTTTTAAATGGGCAGCTGATCCAAGTGAGGTAAGTCCTAAGCAAGTATTCTTTAGGGCATTTGTTGCTAAACTACAACTTGATTTTTTTTGGTATCAATTTTATGACTTTCAGAATGACCAGTCCATAAGAAACTTCCTGCAGAAAATGATCTCAGTTGTCGGGATCCCAGAAGTGATTTCAAGTGAGTTTTCCCTTGAAGGAAGTGCCAACATACTTTGTAAAGCATCTATCGTCAGATCTTCTAAACCCGTGTACTGCAAAAGTCCAGTAATAATCCTTACAGCCTGGGGTACTTGAGGAACATTTCACATCAATGGTGCAAGTTTCTGTTATATTCACGTGGGAAATAGGAAAAGTTTCACCTTTGTAAATGGGTGGGATACAGGAAAATCAGTTTTCCATCAGGCTGAAGGTCATGGGGCGTTGGGGCACAATTAACTTTTGGCAACAGACAGACAAGGTCACAGTACATAATGAGCAGCAAGCCAGGAGAGCTGTAACCATAACTGGATGGTTGTACTGATTCCACAGGGATTGAACCAGCTTTGACCTCACTGATGAACAGCAAAGGGCTTCATTTATTTGAGATCAGAAATCCTGAGATCATCACAAGAAAGGTAAGCAGAGTTCAGAAATACCTGGCTCTAACCCTTTGTGGGAGTGTGGTAGTAATAATATAATAGTAATATGTGTAATACTTGTATAATACTTTTTTCTCTCCCCCTTTTTTTAGGGATACCTAATTGTACAACTTGACTTTAGCTTCCCAAATCATTTGCTGCTTGACTTTCTTCAGAAAGGATTTTAGAACTGGTCTGTTCTTGAAGGAGCGTAGGAAATTGTGTACAAACAGTGATTGCGTGTGAAATGATTAAAAGACAAGCTGACTTAAATCAGCTTCTGCTGATTTTTTTTTTCTTTTCCCGAGAAATGCTCCAGTTTCTGTGCAATTGTATATCCACTAAGCAAAGATCTTGAAGTCTGCACCTCCACACATGTTGCTGTTTAAGGATCCTTCAGGATCTTTAAAGGAGATTCTGAGGAGCTTACAAGTAAGGGTTGAATTCTTAAAGACCATTGGCACTGGGTTAGCACTCAGAGAAGCCAGCAGAAACAGGCTTTACCAATCATTTGGTATCTCTCTTGTTACACTTTAGAAACCTAGCATCTTTTGTGCTGATTCTGTGTTTGTGTTTTTTTTTTTTTTTTTTTTTTTTTTTTTTTGGCTCAACTACAAGCCAAAGAGTTCATGATTTTGGCATACTTCAGCCATTCACATGACATTACCAAACTGTAAGTAAGCTCAGAAGCAGTGATATTACAAGACCTGGGTATAGCTGAAGACAGTGGAATGTGAATTTGGAGAGCAGTTTAATAAGAGATCTCATGTCCTGGCTACTTTCTTTACAGAGTTCAAAACATGGTGTAGAGCTCTGGGCAAATCATGTTCATGTTGTGGGGGTACTGGCCAAGCAAACTTAACAAAAGTAATAAAAACGGTGAGGAAGCCAAAGAGATTATAAGAGAAAGTGTAAGTATCTATTCAGACATCAGGTTCCTGTTTCTTTCTACTATAATGCAATCTTTAAGCTGAAGTGGCTCAGTCATTTTCCTGTACCAATTCATGCTTCCTTTCTTTAAAATTCATCTTATTATTAGGAAGACAGCTCAAATGACAAATATAAGAATGTAATGATCATATTAACAAAAGCAGACGATGACATTCTCTTGTTCCAGCCTGGTGTGGAAAAGGAGGCCAGGATATCTTCCATGCACCAATTTTATAGTTTGGTCCATGGCACCCACAAGAGGTTATCATAGAATCATAGAACAGCTTGGGTTGGAAGGGACATTAATGACCATTCACTTCCAACCCCCCAGGGATGCCATCCACTAGATCAGGTTGCCCAGGGCCTCATCCAACCTGGCCTTGAATATATCCAGGGATGGAGCTTCTCTAGGCAGCCCATGCCAGGGCCTCACCAGGTAAAGGATGTTGATTTTGCAGGTTTTAGCTAATACAGCTGTATGTTGTGTATCAACCACAAGGACAGGACTGAGACAGGGTCTATGCTGTCAGGATGACCCTAAAGACAAGGGAGGGAAAGGCTGCATGCACACAGGTAATAGAACCAGAAAGAACTGGACTGGGATTTTTAAGTCTGTCAGAGAAAGGAAGGGTCAGAAGTTTAGCAGCAAGGAAGATTTCTGGCCTTCATCAAAAGACCACCAGAGTATGCTGGATGACCACCCAAGGACTCTATGCGTATGTGAACAGGGGTAGGAACCTATGTTAATGAGTCTGTGGAGATGTAATGAATATGCAGGAGACACGAAATGAAATGAAAATGTTTATATATATGTATATATGCCATTGACATAAGCACACTGCCAGTAACCCTGTGTGTGTTAGGCGGAGCGATCTGCCACACACCTGGTGCTGTAATAAAGAATACCTGCTTAATTACTTTGCTTATTGAGATTTCCATGTGTCACCACTAGAGGTGGCAACTTTCCACCTCCCTCCACCCTGCCCACTGTCTCTGCTGGCAGGTTTGGTGCTGGCCAAAGGCTGGTGGTCCGTGCTCCCAGCTTTCGACAGGTGATGTTTCCCCACTCTTTGTGACCATGGGGAAAAAATTCTGACAAGCTGGAGCCACCTGCTCTTCTTGAATGACAACCCATTAGAGTGATGAGTACTAATGGAAAATAAATGGTTGAAAATACACTTTTTTTGGATGCGCCTCGCCCTGCTGTGGTGTGCCAACTGGGGACATGGGGTGTGAGGGCTGAGCCCAAACAGACAACCTAAGCAGAGAGCAGGCACTCCAGCGCTGAGGGAAGGAGCCTGAAGCACCCAGCCCTCCTTCGCACCACAGGGTGGTTGCCAGTGAGGGCTGCGGCCCCTCGCCGCCAGCCCCTCCGCAAAATGGCGGCCCCGCCCGCCGGGGGCTGAGGGGAGCCCGGCTGCGGGCCGGCCGCGAGGGCTGCACCGAGAGCTGCGCGTCGCCGGGGCCGGCCCTTGGCGGGGAGCCGCAGCGGCAGCCCCACGTGCTTTCCTGGAAAAGCCTCTTCCCCGCAGCTTTCGCTTTCGGACGGCCGCGGTGGGGCAGCCCCGAGCTCACGGCGCGATGCGAGCCGGCCGGGCAAGGCAGGGCAGGCGGCCGGGTGAGTGCTGCGGGAGGGCGGCCCCGGGAGGGGCAGGGGGGCTCGCTGGGGTGCTGGATTGCTCTCCCTTTCTTGTCACTATGTGGGGTCCTGGGTGAGGTATCTGCGCCCCTCGTGTGCGGTAGCGTTGTGGCACGGATGTGAGGGCGGAGGTGTTGTGCTTGGTGGGTACCCGTGGTGTCAAGCAGGGGAAGGGCGAGGGGCTGGTGCCCACTGTGGCTCTCAGCTCAGCTCCTCGCCGCGTTGGCCAAATGGAGCAGGGGCGAGTGTCAGGGTGCAGATGTCCTCCAGCAACTCCTGGGCCTTTGTCCTGTCGCAGCATTGTCCGGAAAGGTGTTGGGGCAGAGCTCTTGGCCGGCCGTGGGGAGCCCGGTGCGGCCCCAGCTCGTTCCTGGTGGTCTGGGGGCTTGGGGGCCTGTGCTGGCCCCCATCTTTCCCCTCTCCAAACCCGAGGTCGGACCTGCTGCTAGAAGTGGCTTTTGTGCTTAGGTCCTGCTTGACCCCTTTGGGTCAAGCTTGACCCCTTTGGGTCAAGCTTCCTCGGAGTGCATCGTGAGAAGTGTGTCAGAAAGTGATTCATTCAGTAAGCACTGAAATCGGTTACTTAAGTCAAACAGAAACAACACAAGTGCATGCCGTTTTTGCAAGCCAGAGCAACGTATCAGAGAAACACGAGAGGAGGAATTTTTGAGCACATAACTGCCACTTTGTAGGACGAAGGTTTGGTCCCCTCGCACTGCACGGCTGCTCTGTGTGCTGGCAGTCCTGCTGCAGCTGCTGGCCTGGCTGGCACCGGCCACATTTTGTGGGTATTGCTGTGTGGGGCAGAGAAGGCAGATGGGGCCGTGCACTACCCAGGCTGGCTTTCTTGGGCACTTAGAGGGATTTTAATAGTACCTTGTTTGTCACCATATACGTGGCCAGATCTGTCTCTCTCTGTGCACACACAGAAACATGGAATTTTTCTTCAAAACATCCATTCTCACATATTATATTCTCACTTAAACCTGGTCCAAAGGAAATACAGGTCACTTTTTTTCTCTTAGGTACGATGCAAATGTTAAATAAATATTTTTTCCTTATGCCAGAATAATCAGACTAATTTGCTTAAATAAAAATATCTCTATTGTAAGAGCCTTAACCAAACCAAGTGAGAGCTTACTCCAGTGAGAACGTTTGCCCTCAAATCCAGTTTGTTTGGAGCAATCCCTAAATATTTTACCTAAATTATCATGTAGCTGTAGATTTTAGAATAGGATAACAATTCTCGGTTGTTTTTGTTGGGTATTTTGCATCATCTGTTGTTCTTTTTTTTATATCACAGTTGAGAAGAGGTGGGGTTGGGGAATTCCTGTCTCTTTACTTTCATTTTGTACTTTGTTACTCACCGAGTCCCAAAAGACACTGAAAGACATTGTGCGTTGTGAGAGCAGTGAATTCAAGGCAGTGAACGTTGTCCCCCAGCTCCCTTGTTTTTTGATTCCCCCTTGATTTTCGGTGCTGCTGCTGCGCCATTTCTGGGCTTTTGGTAAGTAGCACTAGCTACTCAGGGCACGCAAGAAGTTAGCAGATTTGCAACAGGGAGCTTCACATTTCAGTTTTATTTGTCGTATCTGGGAATGGTGTGAATGCCAAGGTGTGTGGGGGGGTATTTTTGCATTGTGTTTTAGTGGGGTTTCTGCTGATGCATTGTTTTCTGGCTCTTGGGAGGGTAGTTTTGTACTTCATACCGAGCTGAGAGGCATTGTGCTGCAGGTTGCCGCCCATCTTTTCTGGTGGTCTGGTGATAGTGGTAGAGCTGTGTGGTATAGTATTGGCTTTCATCTGGCTTTTCAGGGTTGTTTTGTCCTTCAGTATGAGTCTATCGTTAATTCACCTGTCTGCTCTGCTTGAATGACTTACAGTTGTCATTGGTGTTAAGGTCTGTTTTTTATTTTATTTTTTAATATGGTGTTAATAAACAGATAGTTTTTCATCGTATTGGGAATAAAGCCAGGGCATTGCTGTCTACAGATTTCTAGTTTTTGGCCAGAGAACACATAAAATGACAGTCACTAGTGTTAGCTGGTCAGGCTACTGGATTTTAAGTTTGCTGTGCAGGAAGCCCTGTCATTTTACAGTTTGTTTCAAGTTTCAAGTCACAATTTAAATTTGAAGCATTTATATTTTGTCTTTTTAAGCTTTCCAGTTGAGACATGGTTTCCTTCGTATGTTTTAAGTGATAGGAAAAGTGTTCTTGGTATAATCGATAGTGTAAAATAAGTTTCACAGTAAAACATTTTGAACGAAAACTTGCAGAGTCATTTCTAGCAATATTCACGGTTCTTCCATTTTTGGCATCACAGAAATAGTCCAGGAAGAGCGTTGGTTCTAGCTAGGCTCAAGTTTCCTGCCATTTCATCAGGATTTTTTTGTTGTTGCTTTCATTTTTCATTGGAATATGAATGGCAGGCATGTAGGGTATTTTTACAAATCGGTATGTTTGCCCCCATTTTGATAGATCCCAGAGTCTCCTCACACTTTATGTAACACATCTCGAAAGCATGAGCTGGAATGGGAACCCAGATAGTCTTTTTTTTTGGTGATGCTGCATTACCACATTTTACGAGGATATGCACAACAGCCAACCAGTGTCACAGGTGTGACTTGAAGAGTCAGAGACTAGCAAAAGAGCACATGGTATCATCGGCTCTGCTCTTACCAGGTGTCTGCTTGGCTGTTGGAGCAGAGGAATGGAAGAGACCAGCTAGAGCTTTCCCACTTTCTTAAACTTGAGCGGGGCGAATGGCTTGAGCACTTCGATCTTGCGTGCGCCAGCCTGGAGCCCTGCTCTTTGCTCCTGGGTGCACGCCATGCCCAGCAGCGAGCTGGGAGGTGATGTTCTCCCCGTGCCACGTCCCCAGGGAGCGGCAGGGCTCTGGCACCAGTGTAACTCCCCGATGAATTCAGTTCTCCCCGATGGAAAGAGAGGAGACTCTCCCAGCAGAGTAGAGTGCCTTTCTGTCTTCCCCTTCTCTTTGAGTTCCCTGCTCTGCTGCACAGAAATCTCCCACTTTGCTCCTTGGCTGGGTCAAGAAGAAGGCAAAAATTGAACGGCTCCCACCTGGTGGTGATGAGGTGCCTGCTTGCTGCTGGGTTGCCCAAGAAGCAGCACCAGGGAATGGCATCACACGCACCGTGTTGGATTGATGAGGCAAATATTCCACCCAGCAAAATGCTTCTGCTCAACAGCGTTACCAGCTCTTTGCCTTTGTGCTGAACTAGGTTGGCCGCTGTCCCATCCCCACTCCTCTGCGTATCCACTTAAATGCAGACCTCCTGGGAGGCACCACTGCTTGGTTTCGGGGCCTTCTCTCAAACCCAGATTTTTGCATGTGCAGAGCGGAAGGAGGATGCTCATCGTGTCAGTGGCTAGAAGCTGGAGCTCTTTGACTCACTTTCTTTGTTTTGCTGCCCTCAGCCCAGAAACAGTTGCACATGCAGGCTCCCTGGGGCTAGCGGGAGATGCGGGGCTCCTTGCACAAGGGACATCTATCAGATCTGTCAGTGTGATGGTGCAAGACTGGGCATGGGCCAGTGTCTCATTTGCCCCGACCCAGAGGATGTTCCAGCAACTGGGGGTATTTTTCCCACACCAAACATATTAACGTGCAGCAGTCTCGGACCTGGAGGGATTATCCCTTCCAGATAGCCAGGGAGTCAGCGGGGCTTCTGCTTCTCAGCCATTCTGCAAAGATGGTGCTGGTACTTGCAGTTGGAGCTGGCTTTAGACTTTGGTGTAGGCAGCCTTCCTGGCAGCAGGTTGCTGGGCATAGTGCAGTGGCATGGTCCTGAAGGTGCCTTATCCTGTGCCGGGCACGCAGATGGTAATCTCCTTCCGCGTTCCTTTCCCTGCAGTTGCAGTGGCTGGACTTCAGCCAATGCCATCCCCAGTGCAGGGACAAACAGCTCCCTTTGCTGGTTCTGCTGAGAGGCCTGGGGATGGCACAGGAGATGGTTTCAGCCCCCTGCACCTGAAACGCTCTTGAGAGAGCTGCGTAGCCTCAGAAATCAGCTTTTCACAAGCTTTCTGGTGTGACCGCCTGACTTCAGCAAGCTGTTGCTGCTCTGAGTTGCCTTTTGTGGAGGGGCTGACAGCAGCAGGTTGGCAGAGATGACCAGCTCCAGCCAGGCTAGTAGATCCTCAAATATTCACATGTCATGGTCACTGTGGATTTGGGTGAGGTTGCAACCCAGAGATGGAAAGCTCCACAGCTATCTCAGGATCAAAGACAGACTTTTTCTAGATTATTGACCTGT